GGATCTCTCTTTTCTCTGTCGAACACTATTCAACTGGCCACGCGGGGCAAAGTTCTTAATCAGGCAAATCGAGTCAGTTGTCCGGCTCAGAACGCGTCGAGATAACGCGGTTATCGCGGGCGATTTTTCCACGGACAAAATTGATCGTTACCTCACGTTTTCGGGAGTGTTATATTAAATATCGCGCGATGTAGCTATACGCGTTTACGTGTGGTGTCGGTGGAGTTATGTCGGGCATCGAGGGAGCTGACAACCCGAGAGGTCAGCCTGAGAGGAGGAGGAGGCCTGGGAGAGGCATCGGGCGCCAGCGGAACAACTTTGCGGTAAATATTATTTATTTTGTGTCGGAGTATTATTTTGTTTGTTCTTAAACCTATTTGTTGATGATTTAGAAATAATAGAAGAAAAGGAGTAATTTAATATTTTATCAAAATTGATTCTTGTAAAGATTATTTTCTGAAAATATTTAATTATTTAAATAAATAATTGAATAATCAATAAAACGTTCAATACGCGTAAGAATTATGTTTTAAAACATTAGAAATTTAAAACACTGTTTTAATATGAATTTTATATTTGTTTGTTACAGAATCAACGTAGCTACGTGGCAGATATAATTCTGCTGTTGCGCATCAGAGTCGGTGAGTGATAAATTAATATGTCTGTTGAGGTAATTGATAACTGGATTTTACCAGTTGAAATAATAATATGACGTAAGATCCCATATATATTTATTGCTATAAAATAGATTTCTTTCTAGTTAATTATCTAAGTAATTAGCTAAGTAATTATCTAAGTAATTATCTAAGTAATTATTTTAGAATCAAACAATTTTACATTATTTGAAAATAATTTTAAAATAACATATTATATAAAAAATAATTTTAATAATTAGCACAATACAAAGAGATATTTTTATCAATTCTAATTGTGTGAAAAATGTATTATCCTTTCCGGATCTTGCGTCATTCATCTGAATTTTTCATCTCTGCATGCTTTTGAGATGAGATTTAGTAACGAATCGTTCGAATCGATAAACACACGTATATGGGCCTTAGATTCTATCGAATGGCGCGTCTAGCATTTTTCGTTTATTTAGTTTTAAATTATAGCCTTATGCCTTGCTCATATTAAGGAAGATTCTCGTAAGTTAGGTCCTTCAAAAATTGCTTTGAAAAGAAGATTTTCTCCGTTGAATTTTCCGATAAAATTTGAATATTGTAGAAAATTAATTCTGAACAAGCCGGATTGATATTCCACTCTTATGTCATTCAATTTACTTTGCGGGAATTTCTAACTAAATGTAAAATAATTATGTTAGTCTAAATTGTCTAAAATTATCCTCTGCATTTCTACTCAAAGACATCGTTTAAAGACACCATTTAAAGATATAATTTATAGACATCGATAAGATTACGTATATATAGTCAAGTTTGATTTTATATTAGGAACAGGTGTCTTTTAAAGTGATGGTTACTTAATCTACCTGACCGTAATCGATCAAATCCGCTCTTTATCCTATTGATATAGCCGGCCCTAAAATTATAGATGCCCATTGATTCAGCCGCTCAGATATCAGCCGCTATAATCCCGCTGAGAAGAAGCCGTCTTTCTTCGTACATCTGAAAACCGGTCGCATTCCGCTAATTGGCTAAACAGTGTAACTATCCCGACTTATAGACTGATTTACATCGCCCATAAGAAATTTGTTGCTGCCCCATCGCCGCGGCCGACTATTAATATCGCCGCCGTGCTCTCGATCTCGCGAGGTACCTATCCTCTCCGCGCTCTTCATCCACGACGACTTCGATATTTGCTCAATCGTTAAGAACATGCGCGTTTCCGATCCGTTAACGATCCGATATCGGTGCCTTTGAGGTATGCCGTGCCACCAGCGCGCCGATTACATCCGCTTATTAAGAAACCGAGTCGCATTTCGCTCGGACAGCGATCTAATAATACTTCTGCGATAATATAATTAAACTCTAACGATCTTGTCCTAATAATGTCGTTAAGGTTTTACGTATAATGAATTGCGCGTTATACGTCCTCTTTGAGCGAGCTATTCGTCGTTGCTGAATGTGATGTCTCGTCTTTTTCAGCTCCGTGAAGATACTCCAGTTGGAATCATCGAGCGAATTAATGGTGCAAATCCGGTGAGTTAAAACGAGCAAGAATATATTCATGCCATATAATTATAAATATAATTATCATGGCATTATGTTTTAGATTTTACTCTTTATAGAATTAAATATCGGTCTCAATTTGACGTTTGTATAACTTTTATAATAGAAAATGAGATACGCCGGTTGGAATCATCGGGCGAATTAATGGTGTAAACCCAGTTAAAACGAATAGGAATGTAATATTCTTGCCATGTAATTATAAATGTAATTATTATAGCATTAAGTTTTAGATTTTACTCTTTATAGAATAATTAAGGTATCATGATGCCCCGTATGGATTTTATACAGAAAATGAAAACAATATAATTATAAAATTCTAAATTGATTTATATTTCCGCGAGAAGCATGTAAAAATACTTTTACAAAAATTGTTAAATCAAATTTTCTGAAAAGATCTCGTACTTATTTTTACTGTGGCTGTAAACAACATTTATGAATGTGCGTTGATTCGTGACGACATGGACGTGTCGAAATGACAGATTCGATTTAATCGAGATAGCACTGGTCGGATTCGTTTCGCGGGGGCGTTTCGCGCGGCCCCTTTAAGGCCGCATTAATTGCCCGTGAAAACGCCCCCGCGGGTGTACTCGGGGCCCGGTTTCGCCACAGTTCATTAGGGGTTCCAGCTGCCTCGTCGGGTAACTCCGGTTGGATCTTCGCCGCCGTGAATATAAATCCTTGCGAGATCGCCGCGGCGGACAAACGCCTCTGTCGCCGCCATTTTGCGGTCCCGAGATAGGCCCACGCGGAAGTTCACCATGTTCCGCTATCTCTCCTTTTCTCCTCCTTCGAGTCCATTACCTCGGTCTCTTTTCCATCACATTATCGCCGCCCATTCGATACGTGTGGTAATCCAATTCTCGACGCTTTCTTTCATCTTCGACGATAGGTGATCATTAGGAAAGGTAGCCTATTTGCTGATTCGGAAATGCTTAGGTAAATTGAGATGTACCAGTCGAGAAACCGGTGATAAATCTTGTGTATTTAATTAACCTTTCAAAGAAGCAAGATAATTTATACACTCCAGAATATTTTGGCCTCTTAAATTATAACATAAAGTTACTTTTGATTTTATTTTAGATTTTCGAGAAGAATATGAATATCTATATTTATCTCGAGCTTTTATAAAGAGTTAATAAAAGTTTAATAACAGAAGCTTACAAGTATAAATGATGTACATATTACTCCATACTTTAGAAAAAATTCTGCCAATACAAGTGTAGGTAAGAATGCTAAGGATAAAGCGTAGATTGTAATAATGCATGGGGACACGATTCTTGACATTAATGTAAGAAGGAGGAATAAATTTTCGGTATGTGACGATATGATGAAGTCGCATTAACATAGACAGAAGATCGAGAAGGGTTTACGAAGGCGGATCCGGTTTCAGCCGTCGCAATGCGAGGAACATTTTCGAATCCTTTGATCCGAAGACGTGCCTATGTGGCCATGGCTTTTATCGCGCCTCGATCACAATAAATTAATAAACGCTTCTTTTTTTTTATCCCAGACCACAGGCGAGATCGGCCGGCAACGATATTAGAGGTTTATTAATTTATTTTCTCTTTATTAGGCGGCCGTGGTCGCGCCCGTCGGTAATCAGGGATCTGTAATTAGTCGAACATGCTGTCTGTCCATAGCGATTTATGCCATGCCCTTAGGGGTGATGCCCCCCATCTTCCTCCTCTTTCTCCTTCTCCTCCTCCTCCTCCTCCTCATCCTCGGTTCATTCCACCGACGCTTCTTCGATTCTCTCACTGGACAATAGCCCCGGCACTGCCATTCCTCTCGTCATCCACGGATCTTCCTTCGAGGAAGGACGAATTCCTTGCCTACCTATCGGCACGAGGCATCCTTCAAACCCGTAATTGTCGACGGAGACCGCGAGGCATAAACACCGCACTCGCAACTGATCAATCACTTTGTTACAGCAGCTTTGCAACGCGTTGCGTGGAATATTCTTAACTAATATCTAAATGCACATTCGGGCTTCGAACATTAATTGAGGGTTTCGTACAAAAATGATGCAAGCGCGGTATTATATTCTGCGAGTTAAGTAGAGACCTATTCAGTTAAAAATCCTGCTACGCTATAAAGCTACTAAAAAGATACTAACAAGTATGATATTTAATATTAATTCTTTGTAATAAATATGATTATTAGCGAAAAAAATTATAATGGCAACGTAACGTACAATCGTTAAAATTAATATTATTTTGATTACAGAGTAGAAATAAAAATAACCAATTACTAAATAAATTAGAAAAATATTACGAGCTCTTTGGATTAATTTATGTCTACTGCATTTATATTTGAAGACACGTATCCCTCAAAACTCCATCCTCAAATCTTGGGCAAACTACTCAGCTTATATAAACATCCCACTGATCCCAATGATAAAGCGTACATCGGCGATCAAATTTTCACGTCGCTAACATTCACGGGTCCGTTAACGCGCGCTACCAAGAATAAAATGAAGATCTCGATATGTCAATATTCCTAAACTGACACGCGTGATAAGAAAATTATAGGTACCTTGTGTACATATTGACCCCCAAAGTGCATCAGAGATTTAACGAGCGACGCGTTCCGGCAAACACCAGATAAGAATCTTCCCGCGGCAGCACGTTCTTTCGTTGACTAAGTGGTTCGCAGGATGTGAAGGATCTGGGCTCTGTTCGCCGCCTGGCTTTGGATTTAAGACCAACGCCTGGCTGTCTGTCAGGGACCACACCTTCGGACCGGCCGGCCCTCCGGTTCCTTATAAAGCATCTCGCCGAAGTTTCATTATTTCCGTCAAGATTGAAGTACGATGAACGTAAAGATAAGAGAGGCGCGATGAACGTAAAGATGGCGTGATTCAGCCTGATACGCGAAAAATTATTTTTGAAAAGCTGATTAATTTCTACCTTGTGAGACAGGATTTTTCTGTAATTTGCTTCGCTGCTCTGGATCTTCCCTCGAATTCCTCGGATTTGTTTTGAATTCTTGCTAAACAGTGACAGAATTTTTTATTTTAAGATTTAAATGCGTTTTGAAGAATATTTTAATAATTTATGAGCCACTCCTCTTCAATCCAAATACCTCGCGAATGCGGTTTAAAAACATCCGAATCTGCTTTGCGCGCGCGGCAATGATATTTTAGGGACAAAGTACCTGACGTGTACAGCGGGACGACATAAAAATGAAATTCCGTGCTCTCCGCCGCGAAATTCTTTTCCTTCCGGCGGTAACGGTCGCGTACCCGCACATTTTTCTTCGTGAAACCTTAATTCGGACTTGTCCGCGGACAACTGCACCTCCGCCGTTTTGCGTCCCGCCGCCACGGGACGGGCTTATCGTCGGAATGACTTATCGCCCGAGACCAGCCAGCGCGCATTTGGCGAGTGTGAGTACGGCGGGCCCGACCGTAACAACCTAAATTAAGTTCGTGCCTTCGTCTCTCACCCGTATTTCATTTCCGTCGGCCGGCAGCGGCGGCGTTCGTGCCCGAGGACGCTCGTTTTCTCGGTTTAAGGTTACCGCACCACCGCGCGGTGGCAGACGAGCCTTACACGGAGGAGCCGCGCGCGCGGACCCGTCGAGATCTGTAATCGTCGGCCGACGCCGAAGCCGCGATCGCGAACGCGAAATCACCGTCTTCCGCCGCGTCGTATTCCGCGTATCGCGGGTTGCGCTCGGATGGAATCGATTGCGGCAAAATATCGCGATCATAACGCAAGAATGATATAGCTGTAGCAAGTGTAGCTCGTGCAAATTAATAGCGGTTTCTTTGACTAATCAGAGATCTGGTTTCGAATCAGGAATTCTCAATCGCATCCAGAAGACACAAAATTATCTCACAACCGTTGTGAAATTGATTGGTTGTGTATCTCTGTATCTGCAAATATATCCTATGATTGGTACTGCGATATATTAAAAATCTCGGGAATGAGATTTAATTTACGATACACATACTTTTTCGCATTTTTATTTATAGTAATTATCAATTTAAGCTTATCCTTCCTGTTGATTCAAATTCGCCGCATTAACAGTCCGGTCTGCGTAAAAGTCAGGTATATCGTCGTTGAGATAAAATCGTCTTCTTTGTGGCGCGAGATGACTTTTTATCGCGGCAGGTCCTCGTTCCGCGAATTGAATTGGATGCGCTTGATTGAACGATTCTCTTGCGATACGCGTCGCACGGCTTTCCGCCGATCGAGCGCGTGTTTCTTGGCCGTATTTACGATTGCCGTGACTCGTAAAATGAGGATCCAGCTGCGATAAGACACGCCGTACGGCTGTCCCCGTCCTGCGCGGCCCGATAAGGACGCGGCAGACGTTTAGCGGCTAAGTGGATGTAGATTGAATCGTCAAGCGGACAATTTCGGTTCGGATCGGAGATCGAGGCTGATAAATGATTCATGCGTCCCGAAGGATGGGCAACAGGACAGCGTGGCGAATGCTTTTGTATCGATTTGTCTTACTGATGCACTACTCGTGTGAGTCTCTATTCAATACAATATCCAATCGTATCACATCATGTGATTTATATCCAATTGCAATACTAGTACAATGTGCGCGTGTACCTTATTGTTAAAGCAAGAAGAAAATTCTGATTTTTATTTTATTGTCATTTTTGATAACCGTATGTATGTAAGAGTTACCGAGAGTTAGCAATCTATTATTGATGTGGGCAGGAATTTAAAGAATTCTGTAGGGATTTGATTATGCACAAATTCATGTATCAATGAAGTCATATTTGTGTAATATATGGATGAAGCAATCCGGATGGATTTACGGATCTATAAATTTATAGTAACGCGGACTGATGGATCTCGCGACTTATGGACGTATAAATTTATGAATTTATTGAGTCATCAATCCATGGATTTATAAATTCACGGGACCTATAAACCTAAGGATTGATGGATCTATAAATTCATAAATACGTGAATTTATGAATCAATGCATCCAATCCATTTTTTATC